TGCAGCAGCAGCTTCATGTTGCTGCAGCAGCAGCTTCATGTTGCTGCTGCTGACTTTGTTTCTCTTCTCATTTCCTTCGGTGTCACTATGATTCTTTTTGTTGCCTAATGAAGTGATGTGAAAATGAGAAACTGTTGACACAAAAGAGAAGTGTGACCGTAGGATGAAGAAAAACAAATGGATATGTTTAATCTTTGTTACGATATGTTTGGACTGGGCCTATGGCTTTGTTCTGCTCAGAGCCGGGATTATAATGAAATTATGACCCGGTTCTGACTGGATTAAAACCATAGGCCCAGTCCAAACATATCGTAACATCCTTAAAACAAAAACGTCCATATTTGTTTTCCGTGTCAGCTCTGACTGTGACCCTGACATGCAAGGTGCTGAGTTCTGAGGAACGGGTTCGTAGGTCAGTCATCCAGGTAGGTAAAGACCAGTAACTGGTCCAGATGAAATGATTCAACCTCCTGAAGTTCTGAGAGTTTAATTTGACTGAAATATGTCCTGGAGTTTAGGATTTACTCAGTAAACTCATGGAATCTTGTTCTCATGAAATGCTGGGACCCCTGAAGTTGACCAGCAAAATCCAGACATGAGGTGCTGCACCTAGAATGAGAAATCATGAAAAAGTTTCAGTAATTCCATTCAAAAAGTGAAACTTGTAAATTATATTCATTCATTTCACACAGACTGATGTATTCAAATGTTTATTTTGATGGTCATGGGGAGTGGTGGCGCAGAGGTTGGAGAAGGTGGGCCTGTGATCAGAAGATCGCCGGTTCAAGCCCCGGTACCAACATCAAAAATTTGCACCCACACTTGCCCCCATCCTCATTCACCCCACTCTGAGCCCTTAACCCCCACCATCTGCTCCCCAAACAGGTCTCTGGAAAATGACTTCTCGTGGCTCAACGACACTACCTGGATAAATCCAGGCTAAATTGAAAAAAAGTATGAACATGAAATGTAAGAACATGGACACCATGGTCCTTATACCATACCATACCATACCAATTTATTTATAGAGCACTTAAAACAGCAACAAAGCCAACCAAAGTGCTGTACAAAAGAACCAAACATGCACAGCAGACAGGAAAACATAAAATAGAAATACAGATACAAATAGCAGCAGAAGCTAACTAAAATGGCCAACAGAGTAGAGAACAGACCGGACCAAAACAAATCACACCGTGTTAAAGGTAAAACCAGGTACTGGTAGCTTCATCACTGTGCAGGGGCCAAGTCCTGTTGGAAAATGAAATCTGCATAAAGTTGGTCAGCAGCAGGAAGTCCCTAAAACTTCCTGGTAGATGCTGCGTTGACCTTGGACCTGAGAGAGAACACAGTGGACCAACACCTGCAGAGGACATGGCCCCAAACCGTCTCTGACCTCAAGCAACGTGGATTCTGTGCCTCTCCTCTTCCTCCAGACTCTGGGACCTGGATTTACAAGGAAATGCAAAATGTACTTTCATCCTTCAGGGCAGCACGGTGGTGCAGCTGGTAGAGCTGCTGCCTCTCAGTGAGCAGGTCCCTGGTTCAAATCCCAGCCTGGGGCCTTTCTGGGTGCAGTTTGCATGTTCTCTCCGTGCAGCGTGGGTTTCCTCCAGGTGCTCCAGTTTCCTCCCACAGACCAACAACATGCACGTTAGACTGACTGTAACTGAACTGTCCCTAGGTGAGACAGAGTGAGTGGTGGTTTGTCTCTGTGTCCCTGTGATGGACTGGAGACCTGTCCAGAGTGTCCCTCACATACTGATTGCTGGACACAGACACTGGTGACCCCATGACCCAAAATGGAAGAAGCGGGTAAAAGACAATGGATGGATTTTATTGATTTATTTTATGTATATTTTATGATTTTATTTTCATGACGTTCATCATCTTTACCTGCTCCTTCCTTTTCGGGTCACTGGTGCCACTGGTGCCCATATCCAGTCACTGCGAGAGGCGGGGGCACACTGGGCAGGTCTCCAGTGCATCACAGGGACATGAGCCCCGTTTCCATGAATAATGGTACAGCTCGGTTTGACTCACGGGTTTTCCACCAGTACTGGTTCGTAAAACAAACGAGACAAACCATTCACCGTCTCTCGCCTCTTTAGAGCCACAGTCACACTAACATGCATGTTTTTGGTCTGTGGGAGGAAACCGGAGAAAACCCACGCATGCACGGAGAGAACATGCAAACTCCACCTATGTGACCTGTAAATGTTATTTCTGGTAATAACTTTTGACAATTTTTTTTGCCTAAAATGAAGATCTGTAGTTTTTAAAATACAATCAAATACCAAAGATTAGAAACAATCAGTTATGGAAACAAACTTTTTTCCTTGTATTTAGTTTGGAGCGTTAAATATTATAAAAACTACAAATCCCAACATTTCTTACGCGGACTCTTTTTTTTTTTTTTTTTTTTTTTTTTTATTTTTTTTTTTTTTTTTTTTTTATAAACATTTGAACAACTGTACAGTCACGTGGCATGTACATACATGAAGAAGATACGTCTTATATCTGTAAGGGTCCCACTGCCTGCAGCCTGCCTTGCTGATGGCCGCTGATTACCAACACCTGGCGGCCATCAGTCTGATGAGCCTCTCCATCTACTTAAGGCTGCAATCCGGTGTGACTCGACGCTGGAGCATATCACCTCTTATGGTATAGTACTGTGGTGAGGCAAATGTCTTGGTGAAAAGAATTTGTTCACCTTTTGCTCTTTTTTCCAGTTTCCTGGTTCCTCGTGCTCTTTGGATTTCCCTCGTGACCTGATCTGGATCCCTCGGCCTGTCAGGTATTCCTCGTGCCTCTTTGCCTCCAGTTGCCAGCCTTCCTCGCACCCCTTTGGACCCCTGTTGGATTTCCCTCTGCTGCTCGCTCTCCTCTTCGGGTTGGACTGTAAGCACAAACGCTCATTAAACAAACCACTCTGGCCTTCCCCCATTGGACAACTATTAACCTGTCGTCCCTCTTTCCAGGAGCCTCAGAGAAGCAGCCTGTGGATGTCATTTAACTCACTGTAAATAATAAACACTGTTCTTTTGTATTTCCCCTGTGTCTGCCTC